GTGGAAGCATGCTGTGCTTTGAAAGAAGAGTCCCGAAATGATCAAAACCTTTTTTCAGCGTTTTGCTGATGTTGCTGAGGTGAAGGAAAAAAACGACGGAGGCGCTGTCAAGCATCTCAAAAGATGAATTTAGACAATGTTTTGAAAAATGGAATAAAAGACTAGACAAGTGTATTAGTGTAAGTGGAGAGTACTTTGAAGGGGGTTGAAGGTTTGTGCTTAAAATTTGAATAAATAAGTTTAAAAAAAATTAGTTCGGTTTCTTTTGGGTACCCCCTCGTGTACAAGACATACCTAGCAACGAAGAGCACCCACAAAAAACCACCAGACTACCAACGCATGTACCGTATAAGGCTGCAATTCCGACTGAATCTAGAAATGCACTGCAGCATATGGCAAGATGGCGTCGAGGCGTTCGAGAGGTACTGCCTACACAAACACATACTTGGAAAAATTGAAGAGGGACGAATTATACTCAACAAACAGATCTAATACTACTGTATATATCAACGGCACGTAAAATTCAGTACACATTTAAATATATGTTATTTTATGTTATTTACCTTCATTTACATGTTGTATTGTAAGAATTACTGTCCTTGTTAACTACATTTGTTAAATAAAAAATCTATCTATCTAAAAAATCTACCTACCTACGTACCCACCCACCCACGTCGCGGCCACTGTCATCGGAATGCGATTTAATACAAATAAATTAAAGAGATTATAGAAACTTGCATTTTAAGAAGGTATATGATAAAATTAATTATGCCTGCCTTTGCTTTTATTCCTATATCTTTGCCTAAAAGAGAAGAATTGGGGTTGTATGGCTTAGTTGCACAGAATTAGTCTTCAGAAAGTTGAACATCAAGTTCCCGAAACCCTTCAAATATAATATTACTAAATCTTCTTAATGTCTCTCGGAGGAGACGAGGAATTCAGTGTAAGCTATAATTTTATTTGAATAAATATCTGACGGAGGTTTTTGAAACCTACTAATAGCAGAATCCCAAGAGGGCAGAACTTTTATTTTTCGTTTCATACCCGTTTCTTACTACAGGTACTTATAGATGATTACGTAGAGGGACTGAGGAAACTCACGATGACCTCCCCCCCCCCGGAGAGCCGACCTCTGGCTCGAAAATTGAATGCAGAACTTCTTGAATATGAAGGCGGAGTTCTGATCAAAGAATTATTTAATGGCGCCCTGTATGTACAGTTCCTAAACCAGGACCAGGGTGTGCTGTCTGGAAGGGAGTTTAACTAACTGCGTGGTATATGCTTAATCAGTCATACCGACGGTGTCTCTGGTTTGAACCTCTGTCGTCATTGCAATGCATCTAAATGATTACGGATGACCTGATTATGTTAGACATAAAAAAATGCATGCTATGTGTGTTGTAAAAAACAGTCATTCACATGTGGATCTGACAGAAGAATAAAGTCGTGCACAACAAAATCTTGTCTAACGAGGACTTTCCTGGACAAGCAAAAATATACGCGAACAGTTGTTTTCTGAACACGGAATACACATTTGAATATACTCAGTTCTACAGACACTTCTGATGTACGATATATGTGTACAATGCGGGCAGTCTACACAACAATATTCCTGAAAAACAAAGTAGACACTATTGTATC